TTGCTAAATCTTACTATATTTGTGGTCTAAAATATGTCCTTTGTTTCTATATATTTTACAAACTTAAGTAAGATACAGGTTTTGGAAGATAGTCAAAACCTAAGAGAGAAAAATACTGTATTTTCTACTCTCCTGGGGTTTATCCGGAGCAGTTGTAGGTTACTCTGTTCAATAAACTTGTAGTCACCACTTACGCTCTTGACCAGTCATTGTGTTTATCTCGCACATAAATGAGCATATCCATAAACATTAGCCATTTCCCTCAAATTACCCATAGACTTTGGAAAAAAATAAGCAGTAGAATTTTGGTCATTGTGTAACCTCAGGGGTGTTATATTTATTTACATGAAATGCTCCTACAAAAACAAGCCGTTAATCTAGTAGATCAGAATACAAAACATTTAAAATTCTTCTAGTCAGAAGTGCTAAAACTCATCTGTAAGTACTTCAATTAGTAAAGTTAATCCATAATCCACTTACAGATTTTGTTTTGTTTTTTTGGGGGGTAGGGTGGTCCTGGGGATTGATCCAACGGCACTATACCAGAGTTATAGTCTCATCCCTTTTTTAAAATGTAATTTAATTTAATTTTTTATTATTATTTTATTTCGAGACAGAGTCTTTCTTTGGGCTTTGTACCTAAAATCCTAGTGCCTTAGCTTCCCAAGTACTTGAGATTTCAGTCCTGTACCACCATTGCTGGCATCACTTACAGTTCTTTTTTGGTTTTGTTTTGTTTTGTTTTTAGTGTAGCAATGTGAAAGTTACTTTATTAACCAACTGTAGAAGATTCACGTAGTATGAGTAGAAAAGGTTAAGCCATAGTAGTAAGTGTATAAACAACCCCTAGGCAGGGCACTGTCTATGTCGACATTTTTCTTGTGATACTGAATTGATAAGTGTTACAGTTTTCTTGTACTATGTTTGACATACGAGTTCTCTATTTTCTGGATCTTTTAGTGCCAACATTTTCTCCCAGTTTTACCCAAGTTCCTCAGTTTTTGTAAGTTTTTTAAATTTAGAAATGGTCCAGTCCTTTTGGAGTATTGTCTGAAATTCAAGTAAGTTTTCAAACTTGAGTATTCTGGTAAATTACTATGTTAAATGAGAATACAAAGATTGTATTGGTTAGAAGTATATATTCTATTCGTATTAGTAGAGATTATTTATTGGAGATTTTTCTCTGTAATGATCCTTTGAAATACTCTTTAGAAAAATGTACTTGTTCTGATCTCCATCAGAAGGGAAAACATTGAGATCTTTAGAAAGGCCAAAAAAAAAAAAAAAAAAAAAAAAAGAACAACCCTTTCAGTTATTTGACAGTGAATTTATTCATTAAAGGCAAGGACATTTTTGTTTTTTAGGATTTGAGTTTGCTTTTTTTGGCATGTTGATAGATTCATAAATTCTATAACATGAATCTATAGTTATTGCAATCAATTTAGTAAAATGTGAACCATCATATTCCTCTACAGAGTCCCACAGCCCAGGCAAATTTCTCCTACAGTTGATATTTTTGTGATAATCATATTTAACTTGTCAAATTTGGGCTCATACTCAAAGTTCTTAAGTAGAAAAGTTTAGACAAAACACTTGTATTTTCTACATGGTTCATTTATTTAATAAATGTATTTTGAGGACCATAATAGGCCATAGAGATAGAATTAAATTCAGAAGAAATATTCACACATACCTGGAAAATGTTTCAAAGGGAATCGTGTTAAGGAGAAAGTATTTGAAGCACCTATTTACCCATAATAGTAGAAGGCTAGTTGTTTAGTATTTTCCTTTTATATGACTATTGAAACATAAAATGTATATATTATAATACAAAAATACAAAAAATTACTGGGATTTTTCTTTCATTTTTTCTTGTACTGTTTGATTTTTTTTGTTTGTTTGTTTTTTTTTTTTTTTTGGTTTTTCTCCGGCACCGGGAACCGAACTCACGACCTTGCGCTTGCCAGGCAGGCGCTTTGCCGCTGAGCTAAATCCCCAGCCCCTGTTTGAAAATCTGTATGAATTTCATACCGCACACTGGATTTTGAACTGGCTATATTTTAAGGGCCTATTATCCCACCTTGGAGAGAGTAGCTGCAGAGTGTCCTGTTTTAGTTTTCAGATCACAGTTTGTAATTTCTCAGGGAACATTTCTCTAATCCCCTGTCAGTTTCCTTTTGTCCTCAACCTTAAGGGAATCATCCTCTTCTGTGTCACAGTTGTAAATTACACTTTAACAGATGGGGTTGTTTGATGCGTGTCCTTTCTGCTGGGTGTAGGCACGAGTGTTTCCCATTGCGATCTCAGTCACTGCCCCCAGCTGATGCTGAATAAATAGTATCTGACAAAGGAATTATATAATTATTGCTATTAGGTAACTTGATATGACATTTTTAATTTTAAAATAGGACATTAAATTCTAGTGATGAGAATATAAAATATCACTATTATGAGTAGTCTTAATTGTGAATTACTTATTGGTAATGTCTTTTAATCAGTAAGAAGCTTTTTAAACTGAGCATATTTTTAATTGATTTAATGGAGTTGATGATAAGAGAAGTTTAATCCAGATTTTTGGCCATGGGGTGATACTGGGGATAGAACCCAAGGCCTGTCCACTGAGCTAGATCCCTAACCCGTTTTTCATTTTTTATTTTTGCAACCAGTTTTCAAAAAGTCAGTGAACTTTTCAGGAGCAGCTTGAATTTGTAATCCTTCTGCTGTGCTGGGATTATAGGTGTGCGCCACCATACCCAGTTCACAATTTTTTGATTGCTTAAATTCCCTTAGTTATAGTCACCTTGAAAATTACAAAAATGAAAGCCTTTAAAATAAATTTTCATAAGGGTGAAGATTTTTAGGTAGAATTTATTGACAGTAGCTTTAAGAAGAATTCTTTTGGTTAATTTGATAAAATGACTAAACTATGTGATCCACAGTATCTACTTAAAAGCAAAAAAGTTTATTTTGACTGTTAAGTTATCAGAGATTGTACCCTATTCTGGTACATGTGAGAAATTAAGTATGACCCCTAGGCTAGATAGCTCATGTTTCAGAGAAGGTAGTAGTTTCCGCTGTGAAAGGAAGCGGGAAGGGAAGGGCACGGTGCGTCGCTAGGCGCAGGGTGTCCGAACGCTGCGGTCCGGCCTGGATGCTGTGCACACGCTGGGCAGAGCTGGGAAGTGGCCCTGAGAGGCCGCTTGGCGGTGGAACCTTGGTCTTGGTGTCGCGTTGCCCTGAGAGAATCCCAGGACTGCGTACCCGAGGGGACGAGGTTTATTCCGGCTCCTGTTCCCGAGGCTCGGAGTCCAGGCTGCAGCGTGGGCGTCCGCGCACCTAACGCGGCGGTGTCCTTGCGTGCCGGGGCTGGCGCGAGCGCCGCGAGCGGGGTCCGCAAGCGGCCAGACGCGGAGTGAGGACCGAGCCGGGCCGCGGCGAAGGCTTCGGGCACGTCGGCTCAGGCCCGTGCACGCGCAGGAATCGCGTGTAAGGGCGTTTCCCGCGGGCTAGTGGCCTCCCGGGGGGCCCCACCTCCGGAAGGGTGCCCCCACCTCTCAGCGTGGCCAGGCGGGACCCCGCTTCTGACGCACGGGTCCGTGGGGACACGCTCACACCGTGTCCGCCCGGTAGCAGCCCTAAAGACGCATGGCGTGCTGGGAAGCCTACCCTGGCTTCATGCGGTAGGAGCGAAGTGACGGGAGAGACGGCCTGAGAAGGGCGAGCAGGGAGGCGGCCGCCGAGTATTAGCACAGTGGTGGCGCGCGGGTGCGGGGTGAGGGGTGGCGTGCACGCTGCCCGCGCCCCCACTCCCACGGCCGTTCCCCTCCGCGCCCTCCACCCGAGAGAGGAGAGTCAGGACTAGGACTCCCGTCAGGTTCTTCCGTAAACGTGTGTTCTTAGTGTTTGTGCGTTTTAGTGAATTTTAATGGAAACTTGTGTAACAAGTCCACCATCAATTACCAAAGGGCAAGATGTATTTTCCAAAGTAAAAATGCTTGTGATTCAAAGCAGTGTCATTTTAACTGTACGCCAAAGCTTTTAATGTAAACTGTTTCATTCTCAAAGCTTGATTTTGCTGTATAGTCACATTAACTATAATCTTACGTTAAGAATGACTTTAAAAGGCTACATGTTACCAGTACGTTGGAGTTTTTACATGTTATGTATTAAAGTCTTTTCAGTTTTGTTTGTCAGAATTTAAGAAATAAAGTAGAAATCTAAATAGGGTAGCTTATAAAACCATAACTCTGTGTACCATGAACCAACACTGTAACCAGAAGCAAGTGGCCTCTGAGCTTCAAACCGCATGTCTCCTTTAGAAAAAACAGTATTTATTCTGTCTTCTGTCCTAGCCAAAATGCATTAGGTAAACATCCCTAATATTCGTGATCGCAAGAATGGTCAGGGTATGGTATCTCCACGACAGCGTTCTCTCGGCAGAACTGTGAAAGAAGAGTGCTTGCATGAGCCCCTACTTCGTGCTGCCTCTTCCACTTTTTCTTTTTTCTATGATCGAAGATATCGGAGGGCGGGGGATAGAGCTCAGCGGCGCAAGCGCCTGCCTGGCAAATGCAAGGTCGTGAGTTCGATTCCCGGCACCAAAAAAAAAAAAAAGGATAGCGGAAAGTAAATCCTTCTCTCGTTTGTTGACCCTTAAGGTTCCTGTCATCTCACATCATTTTGAAGCATCACAAGACTGGTGGTGTGATGGGCTTTTCATTATAATCATGCTTTTTAGCCTAAGTGAGATTAGCCTTAGTGAGTATGGGCCAAAGTAAGTTAATATTTTGAAAACATGTACTTAGTATCAATGATGATAAAATAATACACTTGGTCTGTACTGAATTTTATAAATACGGTGTTTAAATCGAATACCATAATTATACTTTATCCTTAATTAATTTGATAACTTCACTATTTCAAAGGGCAGGATTATGGTAATTTTTAAAAATTCAGTGTTTTGCTTGAATGAATGAAAATAAATTTGTTTTTCCACACAGATTTGAGTTCTGTGAACCTGCATTTGTGGTCGGTAATTGCCTCCAGATAGCATCTGACAGTCATCAGTATGACCGCATTTATTGTGGAGCTGGGGTCCAGAAAGACCATGAAAACTACATGAAGATATTACTGAAAGTTGGAGGCATACTGGTTATGCCTATAGAGGACCAGGTGACTTCCGACATCATTTTACTTAATGTATCAGAGGAAACAAACATTGATTAAGATTGGGAAATGTTATTCAATCAAGGTGAAAGATGTATTTTAATTTTGTGGGGGAGGGCTGGGTCTTGCCGCGTAGTTCAGGACTGGCCTTGAACTCTCTGTGTAGCCCAGGCCGGCCTGAAACTCTCAGCGATCTTCGTGCTGTGGCCTAGTGTTGGGATCATGGGCACGTGTCACTGTGGCCAGTAATTGTAATTTTTAAAGAAGAAATGCTTTGTTTTACATATCTATGTACATAAGTAAAACTTGACAGATCCCAAATTATTTAAGTGAAACAGATCCTACAGCACAGTCTGCAGTTCGGTAGAGTTGATGTGGGCTTTTGCGTGCTTGCTGTCGGCCTACTTGCTGTGCGAGACACCGAGTGAACTTTTCCCTTTTGTGTTCCTTTAACTGAAAGGTGTTTAGTTGAACGTGAGCAGCTCAGCATCCACTGTTTCTCAGTTCCTGGAACACACTGAAAAGAAAGCGTGTTTGTACTTGGTTTGAGCTGCTTAACTTCGTCAGTGAAACAAGTCAACTTTTAAATCTTCATTTAACACCACACTCATTTGGAACTATTCTTCAGCCATTTTTGAACATTAAATTTATCTTTTTTTGCTTTGGTTTGAAATTATTAGGTATAATAAATGTATGAAACAATTTATTTGAAAAGGTGAACCTTTAAAAAAGCCAATTACCTTCAGTATTTATAAAGTACATTTCAAAGAAATAAGACCTTTAATGTACACATTAACATAAATCTGAGTTGCTTAAAACACCTTGCAGTTATACAGCAGGGCTAGATTGTCTAAGAGGATGGTGATCTAGTGTGATAGTTGTGGAATTTTTGTATTATTTAAAAATATTAGGTAATACTTCAGATAGTACTTCCATGTCATAGTTGAAGATTTATGTTGTACAATTCTACAAATATCAAATGGAATAATGGGCTGTTTTTTATAATATGAGTTGAATATACTAATTCAAGTTGAGCAAGCTGTTTTTTTCTAAGGACTACTGATGGATAGTTGCTGAGTTTTATGTCTAACCTGGTCCCTTTGTGACTACGTTTACTTGTGAGATACCGGGCTGGAGTTAGAATTAGAGTGTAATTCATGACCACCGTTAACCACTGTGGAAGAGCATGAAGTCAGCCTGTTGGTGCAGTAATCAAAATATCATGTTAATATAGTGCTTTAATCACATGACTGATTGTCTCTGAAACCTGTAGTTTGGAAGGCAATTATTATATGCACCAGACTGCAAATCTAACGTGAAAGCTCACCTGGCTGTATTTTTGTATTCCATTTACATTGAAATACCCATGTCAAAGAGCAGATATTTTTGATTCCATCTACGTTAATTTATAATAAATACTTACATGGAAGCAGTTTGGTTGTACTTAAGTATGTCATTTCATTGCTTTCATTGGCAGTTACTCTTTTGAAACAGAATTCTGACTGTAAGGCAGTCACATTATCAGGACTAAGCTGTGTTCTTTCCTTTCTCTAAACAGTTAACACAGATTATGCGAACTGGACAGAACACTTGGGAAAGTAAAAACATCCTTGCCGTTTCATTTGCTCCCCTTGTGCAGCCAAGTAAGAACGATAACGGCAAGCCAGACTCCGTGGGGCTCCGTAAGTAGATCCTCGAGCTTCCTCACTGCGTCGTCACTGACGAGTTCCACTCGTGTGCTTGCCGTTCAGTAGACTGTATAATTACGAGGGGTCAAATACATGCGCAGTAATGCGTTCAGGCATTTATTCGCCATTTGAAAAGCTAAGGCCCTTGCCTGGTACAGGGTGCTGCTAGTTGTCGTGAGGGGCACATGGGAAAAGGGGACCAGTCAGAACAAAAAGGAATTCACTATGTAGCGTAGTCATGGGGGGGTTTCTGTGTCGAGGCAGCACCTGACTTATGACCAAAGCGATGGGAAAGAACTTGCCAGGGCAGGATTTTGCATACAGAAAGTGAATACGGAAGGCCGAAGGCTGAAACAGAGAGCGCCGTTGTTCTCCAGATGGAGAACGAGGTCCAGAGCGGGAGAAGCTCACGGGCCAGGCTGTGGGCAGTGGCTTATCGCTGGGTACAAAGGGGAGCTGGCCAGTTACACGTCTGCCTTATACCCAAGGCGCGATCTGATGTTGCTATGGATACGGCGTTTAAAAACAAGAATTAGCAAGTGATGAGGGGAGAAAAGTTTTTTCCGGAGTAGCCAGCTCCATGATGGTGCCGGTGTTCTTTGGAAGATGGGCGGCGTAATTTGAAAACAGGTCCAGAGGGAGCAGAGATTTCCCTGTGGCACGTTTGCGCTGCCTGGTTAGCATACAGATGTCAGGTAGTCACAAGGCCGCTGACCCACTGCACAGCAGGGGTGTGAACTGAGTCTGCGACGTAAAGATGGCCTTTGAAGCTACGTGTGGGTGACAGTGGGGGCGTCCGCACTGCGGGGGAGGGGAGGTAGATCTTAAAACCGACCTGTGACCAACTGGAGTTAGAGATAAGCCAGGAAAACGCAGTGACGGGACGGGGTGTCAGAAGATGAGAAAGCAGCTTTACAGTGGCTGACGAGACCTGGGGGAGAAGTATTCACTGGTTTGACGTAGATCGTGATTTTACTGAGTAAAATTCTGTATGCGTGTCTTGATTTGTTTGCTTTTATTTCATAGGACTCTGACTGTATAGTTTAGAGGTGATTTTATTCGAAGTATTCATTTTTCTATCTTTTGAGCTGTGTAACTTTGGGACCTTTTGAGATGGTTTTGAAGAATTGCGTGAAGTAATATTGGTAAAGTTTGGGCTTAGCATCTGGGAAGTAGTGCTAGCTTACTAAAAGGGGTGCTGGGGCTTGGGGAAGGTTGAGAAACTACCTGTTCTTCCCCGTTTAAGTTCTTACCAGCAGAGGGTGCCCCGGGTGCCAGGTGGCTAGGGACCGCAGTGCCAGCTTTGTAGGAAGCAGAGTCCGGGGAGAAAACAGAAGCTTAGGTCTGCACACATGGGCGAGGGTGGTATTGGGATTGAACCCGGCCCTCTGGCTGGCTAGGCAGGCCCTCCCCGCTGAGCCTTCTACCCTAAACCGGGTCCACGCTCTTCAATGAGAGAAGCTTACTACCCAGCGCCCCACCGTCACAGTCTGCTGCTTCAGGGCACGGCTCAGCAGAGCCCAGTTCATATGTGAATCCGGGGAGACTGCCAGAGCCACATGCGGAGAGCTGCTGCTTACGCACATCAAACAGGCTGTTCCCTCTGCCCGGGAAGGAAAGGGCCCGGTGGTGCATGCAGGTGCCGGGCGTCCAGTGGAGGCTACTCGCCCTGAGCGTGTCCGTGGTCTGCGGGGCCCTGCAGAGTGCTGTCTCATCGTGCTTCTCCAGTGGGAACCGCTGTCAAGGAAAGCTTGAATCCTCTGGAAGGTTCATAAAGTCTGACCTGTGCTCGCTCTTTGATGTCGTTTAGGAAGAGATTTAAGTACTCAGTGCTAAAAATGTTTGAACCTTCCATAATTAAAATGTTCCCAGCCATCTTTTAAAAATATACTTGTTGGTAACACCATATACTTCAGCTACCTTTAAAAAGATTTCAGTCAAAATGTATATAAAAAATCCACATAAAACAGGAAAACTAAAAAAAGTATTAAAAAGTAAAGATTATCAGAAGGGGGACTTACTCTGTTAGAAGTGTGATGTTAATGGGCTGGAACATTCCTTCCAGTCCAGTCCAAAGAGAGGCTGTGTGCTGGGTGTGCTGGGATACATGAAGGGCCTGTCTAGGGCCAGGATCGAGTGACTGCCACTTGTATTTGTGTTCATTATGATTGTTCCCATGAAGTTTGCTTTTAGTACGCCATATAGAGTTACACACACACACACACACACACGTGTGTGTGTATATATATATGCACTGTATATATAGTATAGTCTATTACAATATATAACACCGATGTTATATATTGTAATAGACCATACTATACGGTAGTTATTGAGTACCTACTTAAATTCCATGTTAAAAACAAGATGAATAGCAAAGTAAAACTCTTTTCCCTCCTATTTTCCAAACATTAGAATCATAGTTTATTTTTGTTTAATTTATCATAACTGAATGGAAAATAATAAAGAGAAGTAATGAAAAAAATTCTCCGACACAGTTTGGTAAGCGACCTAAAAATCCATCATTTGCATCTAGACTCCCCTGAGAGTTTTTTTACAACATCTGTTTGTTCTACTTTGTAACAGATGCTATTAAAAGCTTCAGAATTCTATCAGGAGTCATTTCCTTTTTTATTTGACAGTTTTCCTACTTCAGTTTCTGTTAAGAGTCTTAGTTGTAAATGTGATTTTGCAATAGTGTAATTTATGAATGATGTGGATGATACGCTGTAAAGGAGCAGTTTCCATCCCCCTCATTTTAAGGATGTAAATACATCTAAGTGGGTGATAAGACCCATTGATTAGGTTGTGTATTTACAATATGTGAACGCAAAATAGAAATTCAGCATGATAGGATAAAATGGGGTGTGGAAGGTGAAATTTTTTGGAAAAAATTTCTTCGTATCCCTGAAATACAGATAAAGTATGTGTAGACTTTTAACAAAATAATCTGGAATGAGCTGCAGAGAAGACGGGTGTCGATGCAGTAGGACTATCCAAGAGAGGTGACTGTTGAAGCCAGGGGCAGGTTCATTTTACTTTTGCCTCTATATTCAAAGTCTCTATAACAAAAAAAGTCCTCAGTTGTCAATAGCAATTGTTTAAAAATGGGTTAGGAATTCTGAGTTTCTAAAAAGTGAAATCATGTAGAAACACAGTGTGAAAAAAGTTGTGAAAATTGGTCTTTGTCACATCTTATAGGATGCATAGAGAATAAAAATAAATTTTGTTAAAATAAGTCACAACAGTTTTCTATTTAGAAGACACTATCTTGTTAATTATAGGGATCTAAAATAGGAAAGAATGCTAGAACGCTAGTACCAAAAAACCCCAAGAAAATACATGTAAATCCTGTACCAAATGTATCTTAAAGCAGTAAACTTGTTCATATTAAATAGCTTATTAAAATGAACTTACTGTTTTTCCTCTGATTCATCACTAGTTTTTATTCAACTTAAAAATTATATTTTTTATTTTTAAAACTTTGAATATATTTTTATTTGTGCCTATTAGTTTCACAAAACACTGAGTTCAAGGGTGGTGGTGTTATAGATGCAGATAACGTGCTTGGACTGTATCCATTCTTTCCCCTGCTCCCCTCCCTTTATTCACTTCCTCTAGTCAGATAATTATCTCCCTTCTCTAAGTCACCTTTCTTTCTGTGGTGATGCGTGTATATAATACTAGAATCGGATGTACTGTTTAACACTCAGGGGTAGAAGAGACTTTGTAAACTGTGGAATGCGGAGCTATAATGAAGTTGGTTCTCTTACAGTTTAAGCCAGAAGCATCAGTTTTGTATGATTTAACTTAAGTGAAGTAGGTTTTAGTCTTCATTAATAAATAAAATGAAATCGCTGGTCCCTAGGTTACTGTAAAACTTATACAGAGCCTCCCTTTGTGAAAATAAATGGAGTTTAATGTATTCCTGCCGGCTTGAACCACCAGTGGTGCAGGCATGGCTGTCCCGTTCGAAAGCTTGTATTACTGGAGGTACAAGCTGATCCCACTTGTACTGGTCTTTTTTACTAATAAAAGGCCACCCAGTGGGACAGCCATGCCTGTACCACTGGTGGTTCAAGCCACCTGCAGTAAGACATACTGATTATGGTCCCTTTGCAAACATGTTAAGTATGTTACAGACAAGCTTACCTATACTTTTGCAGTTAAAAGCTTTGACACGTTCATTTGGGCCATAATTGGTATGCCTTCGTCCTGGGTAGCTCTGATTTGAATTTGACCATTCCTGCCAGTTTGAACCATCGGTAGTGTACGCGTGACTGTCCCATTGGGCAGCTTGTACCGCTTCATGGGGTCTTTGATTACAATAATGCAAAGAAAGTCATTGATTTAGCAAACCAGCTGTCACCATATTACAGTTTCTTAATTAAAATGGTATAATGTTCGCTTTGGCAGCACACACACTAAAACGATATTAAAAAATGTAATACAACTAATTGGTAGTAGAGCAGTTGTAAATGGATATTACATGTGGTACTTGTAAGATTGCCTTGTTAAAATTTAGAGAAATATTGAAATATTTGTGAATATATATTTCTTTTAATGAAGTAAATAAATTTGTTGATTATTGTCATAATTTTTAATTGGTATGAGTAGTGTTAATTATACTTGGGCAGTAATTATTCACATTCAAGCAACTAGATTCAGTGCATTCATTAGATGTTTATTAATCTTATTAGTAAAAAGACTGATAAAAGTGCTTAACAGCCGTGGATGTACCACTAGTGGTTCAAACTGCTGGGAGCGTGTTAAGTTTAAAATAACTTTTATATAGCTGTCAGGACTAATACTGTGTGGTTTATTAAATCTTTGTCTCATAACTGGAAACAGTAGAAATGGGAGTATTGAAGAATAGAAAATATACAGAATATATGAATAGGTAGATATGACCATGTCATTGCTGAGACAAAATACCTGATGCCCAGAATTAAGGAAAGGTTTACTTAGCTCACAGTGTGTGGAGGTTTCAGTCCATACTCTCGGCTGGCTCCAAGGCAGGGTGGCACTTGGCAGAGGGCAACAGTTCATGGTGGGGGAAAACAGCAAAAGCAGCAAGAGCAAAACGGGAGGAGCTGAGCGCAAGCCACTTTGCCTCCCTTACATTGTGTGGAGGCGGCCCCGCCCCAGGGCAGGTGTAGCTCTCACGTGCATCGTCTCAGCACTGGACCATGAGTCAGTCACAGACTGTAGAAGCCCGCCGCATGACTGCTCATGCAGGGCTTTGGGGGGACATCCAGACACAAACCATGGCAGACCATTACCTAAACGTTCTCATGTCATTCAAAAGAATGTTTAAATGAAGTTTATGTGGATACTGTTTCAGGATTTGCTGAGTAGTAAATCAGTAAAGCCAAGACTGAATCTTTTTTCCTACTGAGTCCTGTTGGTTTTTAATAAAGTTCAGGTATTGTTCTGGTGGTTTAGGACTGAAAGGTTGATCCCTGGAATAGCAGACATTGTTGGCAGTGGAAGAATATAATTAAATTCTTGACAGGGAATATCAGGAATGTAAGAGCACTAAGCCAGATAAAGACTGATGCGGCTTTTATTTCATACACCCTTTATAATTTCCAAAATTGTGAACACGTGTATTCTCCTCCACTCTTTTGTAAAACCCCCAGGCTTAGGCTTCTCCCGTGCCTGCCCTCCGTCCGGTGTGTCCCTAACCTCAGCTTGCACCGGAGCTCCAGAGTCATGATTGCATTCAGGTTCACTGTGGTCAGTCACCACCGCAAGCAAATTACGTGACCTCTCAGCATTCATTACCCAAGCTTTGAGCTGTGGAACACTGAAAGTGGTCACTCGTGTGATGCTGTAGTTGTTACTCCGGAAGACTAGGTGTCATCTCCGGAGCCTTCATTCAGACCTTGAACCAGCTAGACTCCGTTGCTTATTAGGGCTTTGCTCTGCTCCAAATCCCTTTAGATGTCGGCCAAAGTGTAGCTTCCTCGAGGGAACTTTTGTGACGAACCACAGGTAACCATATGGCTTGTATGTTATTCTCTTCATGCCCCCTTTAAAGATTTTAATTCTTTTTGCCTACCCCGTCCCAAACATGCATAATCTCCACGAGTACAGGACTCTGGTAGTCTGACTCCCTCACTGTGCGAGTTTGTAAGTGCCTGACCTACAGTTCAACACATATCTGCCGAGTGACTCTAGCGCAGTGGGGGCTGGTGGGGGGGCGACTCCTTTCCCCAACTTGAGTTTGGGCAACACCCCAGGGCCAGTCCTCTTCCGGCGTAACTTAATCAGAGGGGACTCTGGAACAGACACCCGAGTGAAAAGCCCCTAAACTCGGGCTGGCTCAGCACTCTTAATTCCTTGTCTAAGTCTTCCCTGAAGACCCAGTGAGAGACACCTTGGCCAGAGTGCACCTCTGGAGAAGTCCAAAAGCTTAGTTTGTCCGTGTGCTTTCGCTTTTCCTGTCATCCCAGCACCACTTTGTGGCAGAAGCAGGATTTGAACTCAGATTCTTTTATGTTGTTTGAGTTTGTACTCCATGTGCAGTAGTTACGGGGAAGTTAGACCAGTAGGAAAAGTAATTTCTGGCCGAGTGGGAGCAGTGTGGTTCTTTGAAATTTTTGCTATTTCAGGTTTCAGGGTTGGAAAAAGCTTAAAGAAGAAGTTTTATAGTGGACCAGGAGGTACTAAGATTTTAAAATTAGGCTTACAAGTCTATGTTAAAGTGAAGTGGAAAACCCTGCGTCTTCTGCAGGTGTGTCTGGAGGTGTTGGGCATACCCTGACTGTCGGGTAGGGGAGAAAGACGAGCATGTGAGCCCCGGCCGGTGCCGTGACAGGCAAGGCCTGCCTGTCGGGCCTGTGGGGACATGTTTTGTTCTGGGAAGCTGTAAACAGTGCATAATGTTTTCTTGGTCTTCTCTTTTTGTCTGTGTTTAGCCCCCTGTGCTGTCAGGAATCTGCAGGACTTGGCTCGTATTTACATTCGCCGCACACTTCGAAATTTCATCAATGACGAGATGCAGGCCAAGGGCATTCCTCAAAGGGCTCCACCCAAGAGGAAGAGGAAGAGAGTCAAGCAGAGGATTAACACTTACGTGTTCGTAGGTAACCAGCTTATTCCTCAGGCTCTCGACAGTGAGGAGGATGAGAAAATGGAAGAAGATCACAAAGAGGAGGAGGAGAAAGACCGCAGTGAAGCCGTGAAGCCGGAGGAGCCGCCTCAGAATTTACTGAGAGAGAAGATCATGAAGCTGCCCCTCCCTGAATCCTTAAAAGCTTACTTGACATATTTTAGAGACAAATAAATCAAGAAGAAAAATGCCTACTGATACTCCTTTAGTCTTGAAAATGTAGCATTTATTAGGAGTTAAAAGACAATTATTTCTTTGATCAGAGTGAATTATAGTGGGAAAAAAGTATAACTTGTTTGTCAGTAACAAAAAAACAATGTATTCATTGATTAAAAAGAATCTATCTCTTTTATAAAATCTATTTTTCTTTAAATCTTGAGAAAATGCTGTTTTAACTCAGTGATTTCAAAGTGGAATGCAACAATAGTCAAGACTTTGTGTACTATAAACCTTTTCTGATTCCTTACAGATTTGTAGTGGTGAGGGTTAGATTTAATTTTCTATAAGGTTTAAATAATCGTGAAGCATATATAATCTGATTTGAATTGCAGCTGTTGGTGTTTCTCTATGAAAACTTTCTTATCTAATAAGGAAATCAGATGCTTTGTAGACCTATTTACACTTTTGTTGCAATCACTCTTGCTGAATTGCTGTAGATATATTCCGGGCAATATATGAGTGCAATAATAATACAAGATATTGAATAATTTAGCTTTAAAAACATAAATTTAATGAACTGTTACAGCCCTGCAACTTTTCCTTTTGAATCTGTTGCCAAAAGGCATGGGGGAAATACTTGCTTCTCTTATAGAGATTTAAAGAGCACAGCAAGTGAAGTCGGAAGTGTCTGCCTAATACAACTCGTAATTTGTACGGGCCTTTTACATTTTCAGTATTTACAAATAACGAGGCCATCTTAATTCTTTAGGGTTTTTTCCTGTAGTTCACTATATAAAGTATTTAGTTTAAAAAAAAAAAAAAACATCGTCCTGTCCGCCTGACAGTGCAGAGGTGTGAAGGAGCGAGCCCAAGCGGCCGCCACTCTCCTGCGAGCTCCGAGTCCAGGCCAGGGCGCATGCGGTCAGCTGATGCACTTTAGCTCGTGAGACTTAGAGTTTATCAGAATATTTATCTTGACAGAGTAGGGCTGAGCTTGCCTACATTTGCTTTGGATCTTTCTGTTATAAGAAATAGTCACAGAAATTGTATCTAGATGCCTTTGTGTTACAAATCAGGTTCAGAATTGTGTAATCTTTGGGACCTACGCCACGTTCACTTAACTTCTCATATTTTTTTGTTTCTTCACTAAAATCATAATGGTTCTCATTTTTTGCTTTATGTTACATACTTAAGTCACATAGCTTATCAGTGATAAAACAGGTAGTAAATTTCATTAGAAGGTTTTTTTTTCTTAGTATGACCTGAAAACAAGTCATTCCTTGTTGAAAAGCATACAATGTAATGTACTTCTACTTGGTGTTACACGGATCAGACATTTTTCAAAGGGAAACATTTGGAACTATTGTCGTCCCCAGCATCACCGTCGCAGTGGTCATGCAGATACGCTCGGAGAAACTGGGTCGTCATGAATGAAAGGATTCTTACCTCTCTGCTGGGACTCAGATATGGTGTCAGCTCCAGTCGTCCATACCTCTAAAACAGTTGTGTGGAATAGCCTAAACATGGACCTGCTCCAGAGGATTGAGGACATTCTAGTCATGTGGAAGAGAACTCCATGGAAGGTGTTGGTCTTACACCCAGGGCTCAGGTGGTGGTGGTATGGAATGCGTACCTGTGATTTTCTTTCTAGGTGAATGGTAACCTGTTATAATTAAGAAATGCCCTGTCTCATCGAAGGAAGAAAAAAATCAACTTCATACTTTTGTCATGTGTTAGAAATGTGCATTTGGTTTTTAAAAAAAAATTTATTTTAAACAATAGAAAGTAAAAACATTAAAAATAATACACAATTTGAAAACAAGCGGATAGGGAATGTTCAGCCTCATTGGTCATTCAAGAATTGTTCATTTGATTTTGAATTAGCTGTTTCAGAAGTGTAATGTTGAATTCTGGTGCCCATGTGTTTTTATCTCGAAAACCTGGGAAGAGATTTCATCTTACTTGCCCCACCTCCATTTTTTTGTTGGAGCTAGTTTTCAGATACATAAAAACAAATATTCTTCAGTGGTGATTTTACTACTTAGGAAAGTTTTTGTTAAGGCTGTATTTCAAGATTGACATTTTCCTGTTGTCTTTCATTCTGTCGCCCGTGGGAAAGTGTACGGTGGATTTTCATGACCATTGCCTGTTTTCTGTCATTGAAATGCATCTTTTGTGTTTCTCAGTGCACTTATTTTACAGGTGTGACTTTATCAGTGACTTTAAATAAACTGGTAGAAATAAAAATTCAAGTGAAGGTTTTTTTCTATTAGTGCAGATAGCTTGGACTAAGAATACTTCTTGTTTTATTTTTTAAAGAATTCAGGTTGACTTGTATGGAAAATTATGCTGTATAGTAAAGAAATGGAAAATAATGATGAAGTGGAAGTGAAAATGACGGGGGATATCATTGTGGAATTTTATAGACACATAAGACATTAGATACATCTGATTTAGGCCTTCATTTTACAGACAAGAAAGTAGGCCTCAAGTGGTGATTTGTTTTATCTAAGCCACACAGCTTGTTGAAGACAGTGCCTGAAATAGCATCTAGCGTCAAATCAATCCCAGAATCTGTCAGCAACACCATAGCTACAAGGAAGATATTTTGAATCTATACTGCCTATTGGTCGATATATTTGGTTCTGGTATTAATAAAGAAAAATGTTACTAAACTAGCGTACGTAGTGGTTAAAATAAAATGCCAAAAGTGTGTTGTCATCTGTCTGAGATGAAAGTGAAGGAAAGCCTGTTAAATCATTGGAAGACTTGGAAAATTATTTAAAATAAACAATCACATACTTAAGCATCATTCTCTGGTGACCTGGCTTTTCTTTCTCTTATATTTGAATTTAGACGTTCTCAGTGTTTCGTGGGTATGTGTTAGATTGTGCTGTACAGTTGTCTGTGTGAGCACCTTACTTCTTTTGACTATTGTCACCTCTGAAGAGTTAAAGATGTTATTTTATTGGTACTATTATTTGGTGGTACTGAAGGCGGAACCTGCGGCTTTTGCACTGAGCTATACCCTCAGGCCTTTTCTATTTTGAGAGTGTCTCACTGGGTCCCTAGGTTGCCCAGGCTAGGGTTTAACTTGAGGTCCTCCTGCCTTAGCCTGCTAGAGTGCTGGGATTACAGGCAAGTACCACCATGCCAGGTAAAAATTTTATTTTAATAAAATATTCAGTAGAAATAAAGGGTGTTATTAAAATGTATTTGAAATAGGAATGATGATTTAATACACATGTAGGTACACGTGTGCCTAATGGTAGGTTCACCTATCAGTATTACTAGTACTTGGGTGCCCTGTTCCGATCTCTCTTAATCACCCGCTTCTTGGGTGACGTTATTGTGACCTTGCTTTTTGCTGTCGCTTCACCACCGTCGAAGTTACTGTTTAAAAAATCTGCTCTGAGTGATTGCTCTCAACATTTTAGTGCATTCACCTAGCCCGAGTTTCGTTACTCTCACGTCATCCTTAGAGATACAGAGCACTTGACGGCACTCCTAGCTGTGACGTCGTCATCTCAAAATGACGTGAATGTATCGTGCTTTAATTCTAATACTTTTAGCTGTAATTTGACCAGTGCTTAATTAGATTTACTCCATTTTACACTGGTGTTCTGCTCATGATTTTTTCCTGAGACCGTCCTGATTTCTTTTTGCCTACAGTACATCCTTTGGAATTTCTTGCAGAGGAAGACTTTTGGTTGCTAACTCAGTTTTGTCTGAGTAAAATGTTTTTGTTTTGCTTTTCTTTAAAAAACATCCATTGGCTATACAGTTTTAGCATGACAGTATTTGCTGTAAAGGAGTTAGGATTTCTTTACTTTCTGGCTTGCTTTGTAGCTGTTAATTAAGCCGGCCATTACTTTGAAGCTCTTCTCTTAGCTTTGCTGTAAAGATTTTTGTCTGGACATTGTTAATCCTTTGTAGTTTCATAAAATGAGTTGAGGTATGAATTTCTTCTCATTTTCCTCCCTGATACCTGTCTTGTAGCTGTGTGAGTGGGTCTCTTGATGAGTTTTAGACATTCTTTGCCACCTTTTAAATAAATACTGTCTCAACTTTTTCTCAGCGTTGAGTTTTAGATAATTTCTTCAGATTGATCTTCTGATCATTAATTTTCTTTAGAATGGCGTTGAATATGCTGTTGAACCCTTACATTGAGTTTTATTATCTGTTGTATTTTCATTTCCACTCTTGCTTTCTCACATTGGCTTGTTTTTATTCTGAGACGGGATGTGAGACTTCTACTCTTGATATTTCTTTTGTCTGGCATTTGCAGCTGTCTTGTATTTTGTGTGTTGTGCCGGCACTTACAACTATCTGTATTTTGTGGGAATTTTATTAGCTGCCTGAGTTGTTGACCAGCACAGCCTCTGAATCCTCACTTTAAGGATTTCTGGACTAGAGAGGTGAAGTGGTCTGAAAGTCCGTTTGAAGGCTACGCCTCCAGAGAGTTGTTATTCCCTGCTTCCCAAGGAGGTTTTGAAATAAGCAAATTTTTTGCATTCTCTGGGATGAACAGAGTGGTAGACAGTTGCAGGAATGGGGATGATTTCTAGTTTTTCCTTAAGATACTGCTGTGGCTTCATACAGCAGTTTTCCTGTTAAGGCTCCCCGCTTGAGAAAGGGCCTGTTCTTTGTCCTCTCCCTTGCTTGCTGCCAGCCTCTGGTAAAGCAAGTCAAGCTGAGACCAACCTTGGGTGTACGCTTAACCTCAGGGGCTTCCCATTTCACTTGGTTTTGGACTTGTGCATGTCCTGCTAATTTCCGAGTGTCTTTCCTGTCTTACATAGCACGGTTGGCTGTTCTCGGGCAGAGAGCTGTACTGAGGCACTGTGCAAGAGGATGCCAGGTATCAGCAGGCCAGACCATAGGTAGCATGGCTGATGCCTTGAAATTTTTAGCCCTGCTCTCAGTGGCTATTTGTTTTGTTTTTTCAATACAACATCAATTTAGGTTTCTCAAGTGGAATGATTTTCATCTTTTCTCAAATCAGATACTGGCAAGAGCACAATAATTCTAAGAGAATTGAAAGAAAAAAATAAGTTTTTTTGAATTATTGGTATACTTAGGCAATGAAAGACATGAACAGTGCAGGCATACTTAAAAAGTTTATTTTGAAATCATCCTTGTTCAGCAAGATCATTTCTCCAAATCTTTTTGTATTTTAATCCTCCAAATACGATGCATATGAGTGAACATTTTGCCAAAAGAGGGCAGTATGCACCTACAGCAGGATGTAAAGAGACTGCAAAATTACTCCGAAAAGGATGAACATGTTTCTTCCTAAGAGTGACAAAATTTGTCAAAACTCTCCCCATTCCTTTCAATCTGGTCATCTCAGGTTAACCATCCAAGTTTTAATTTTTGTTCTATATTTTTAAAAGAATTTTTTGAAAGCTTCAACCTTTAAAAAAGTTTTGAAGCACCTGCTTACAGAATGATTAAAAACGGGATGTTCTAACTGCAAGGTGGATTTGATTGGAATCTCTGTTCTCACACATTTTCCCCAAGAGGGGCCGCTCCCCTCAGGGGACCCGGCCAGGGAAGCCTGCAGGTGAGCAGTGTCCAGCCAGCGCCTGTCCTGTTCCAGTTCTCATCGGTCTGTGAGCTATTTCCTAATGAAGCAAGCGTGTGAGCAAACAATTTCAAACAGGACATAGTAAAGTAAGGCAGAAGTAGCCGGATTGCATCTTACGTGAGTGGGACGGATTGGGTTTCAGGAGTAGTCTATAGTGAGAAATGCAACCATGCTTTTCAGAGAACGGTTGAGAAGAAGGAAGGAATGTGTGTGTCTAGATGAACTAATTAGAATTGCCTGCCCTTTAGGATTTGGTAATGTTACCAGATAAAAAGAAGGAAAGCTATTCTGCATGGGTTCAATAAATAATTAATCAACTTGAGCTTCAAAAGGACAGCTTGGGGCTAAGAGACTGGGACTTACGTAAAACGTGCAGTGGAAGCAACTTGGGAGAAGTTTTTATTTGCATTCTGCTGCCAAGAGAGGCATTTGCATTCACGGGCTTCTTGTCCTGTCTGTCCCTGGGAGTCTAGTGCCTCCTAGAGCTGCAGCGCCCTCAGCCCTGTAATGTGATCCTCTTCCGGGATTGGGCAGGGGCTTCCTTTTCCCTGGGATCTGCTTTCAGCCACTGCTCCCAAGCCTGGCTCAGCCCGGCCCCTACCATCCGCACCGCACAGCTGGGGCAGCTGCGTCTCCTCCGGTCCCGTGTGTGGCTTTGCCTGTGCAGCCGCCCCTGGAGCAATGCAGCCCACCCTGCTCTTTTGGATCACCTGCTTCCTCCTGGCCAGCCGGTGCCTGCCGCTGCTGCCCTGCCCCAGCCGGTGCCTGTGCTTTAAGAGCACCGTTCGCTGCATGCACTTGATGCTGGACCACATTCCTCAGGTACCGCAGCAGACCACGGTCCTGTAAGTGCACATGATTCCCTCACACCCCATCCAGCCATGCCTCCTTGCTTCCCAGCCGGGCCTGAGGAGGGCTCCTGCTGCTCTCCCTGCTTGTCTATCTGGAGGAGCCTTACATGTACAGACAGCTTCCCTGTTCTATGGTGTTAGGCTGAGAAACGTGAGCACTGATGAGGTGACATAAATATATTTGTTCTGAGTGCAGTCCTACTTTCCAGCACTTTGCAGAGCTCACCGTTGAGGATTCTCATCTTCAGTCTTGCTCAGTAATTCTGTAGCAGTAAGCTCTAATTTTTCTCCCATCCTCTTCTCCCAAATCTTTGGGACTCCTAATTGGGTCAGGCTGTGACTACTCCACTTGGAAAGAAGGATTTAATTTCAGAATGTGGTTCTGATTGATTATGTGCTGGCCTGCGCCTCCTAGGAGCATGGTGTCTTCGCTCTCGGCACTTGGGACACTATCTGTCTTCGCTCTCGGCACTTGGAACATTATCTATCAAAACAGGCTGTCAACTGGTCCAGGAAAGCTCCGTCCTAAAAAGCCGTGCTGAGCAGCTGCTTAGACTAATTGGCATGTAGGAGGCATTACGGTATGGTAGGAAAAATGAGGATTTAGGAGTCAAACACCTGAGTTCAAGTCCTACCTCATTCTCTTTAATATGGGGATGAAATAACACTGTATAATTAAATGGGAATTATACATCTAAATAAGCTGATCCTTAGATTAGGTTAAATAGATAACCAGAGAGTTAGAATTAAATATTTTAAATAAATATTTTATCCTATTGTAAACATGCCATAAGAGGGAAAAAAAGGGCATAATACTGAAAGATTATTCAAGGGTGCTCCTGATCCAAATTGTGTAATGTTTGTGGAATACTCAGCTGCTGTCAGTGTTTCCAATTTATTCTTGGGCGCAGGAAACGGCCTACCCTCCCTGGAATTTGGGGATGTTAATGTGGAAGATCATCTTCGCTATAGACTTCTCAGTCCTAATTATGAAGTAAAGAGGTAGCTTCTTACTGAAAACTTCCAGCTGCATAGAAAGTGACACACATGGTCTGTAGGTTTTCCTTGTTGCAAAGCATTTTGTTAATTCGGTGTGTGGACGTATCACCGAGTCTTACTGTGCAACTAAAAGGACAGATTATTGGACGTGGTGCCATTACGTGCAGGACAGCTCTAGAAGTGCCTTCAAACTCCAGCCCATCCATTTGTCATCTTGTAGGGACAATTTTCTAGCAGACAGCAGAAGAGCCTTAGAGAAAGGGCAGCTTGTCTCAAGTGCCACAAAGTTAAATGCCACCGGAGGTGCAATTGTGACCTAAACTCTCCTTCCTGGGCGTTGAAAGAAGAGAGGAGACCCAGTAGAAATAGCATATGCTTGCAGAGGTAAGGAGCGCAACCGAAAAGACATCGTCGGCGTAGTTGGGAGACTTCCCGTGTACATAAAAGTAAAGCTGAATGCTTGGGTGCTTGGACGAGGAGCCAGATGCGGACCTGTGAATAAGGCTGTCACTACCACACATCCAGTACGTGTTGCCTTGCGCTACTTCTCCGCTTGGTGTTTAAATTTATCATCTGTAAAATGAAGGTCCTGGTAGTGCTCACCCTAATGGTCATTGTGAAGATTGAGTTCAGGCACTTTAAGTACTTGGAGAATTGTCTAGTCCTGTAAGTGCTACAGAGTTTTAGCTGTTACTACGCTGATAAGTTGAGGGCAGAGTCAGCAACTCGGATACCCCCAGTAACCTGTGGTAATTCGAGGGTCCGAGGGTGGGTGCAAAGCCAGTGTGTGCGTAGAATGGAGGAGAACCCCCGGCACCGACTGGTGTGTGGGGACAGAGTGTGATGAGGATAGACACCTCTTGATAATGCGTCTCTGTGGCTTTATTTTTTTTATTTTTTGGTTTTTCTCCGGTACCGGGAACCGAACTCACGACCTTGCGCTTGCCAGGCAAGTGCTTTGCCGCTGAGCTAAATCCCCAGCCCTCTGTGGCTTTATTTTTACACACACGGAGGGCTCCTCTCAGCTGTGCGGACTGTCTTTCCAGTTCTGTTCCTTACCTTTGGAAGTGTATGCTGCTTCCCTTAGGTGCTACTCTCTTTAAACACCTACTTAGCTGACGGATGCCCTGTGACAGGGTAGGCCTGTTCATCTTACCATATTTTTAAAGCAAATGCAGATGTCAGAAATGAAATTCCTAGGCTAGGTGAGGTGGCACACGCCTGTAATCCCAACACCCTTGAGAGGCTGAGGCAGGGGGATTGCCGTGACTTCAAGACCAGACTGGGCTATATAGCAAGACCCTGTCTCAAAACAAAGCAAAATAAAACAAAAATGAGATTTCTGGCTTTTAGATATTAAGAGTAAATTTATTTTTAAAATTGAAAAAGCAAAAATGTCCAAGTGCAAACTTATATATTTGTAGGTTGCTTTTCATGTGGGACCTTCAGTTTGTGACCTCTGTTAAAGAAGTAGTATAAAAGCTGAGAGTAGGTGGGAAGCTTATGAAAATGGGTCCATCACTGTTTTTTAGGCTAAAAATCCTTGACATAGGGGTACATTTTTATGGAAGCAGTTTCAGGAAGGACCGCCACCGACCTCATTAAGATACAAATCCTGAGAGAAAGCTGATAGACTTTCTTTGTTTTGTAGATAAGCCTCACTATGTAGTTCAGGTTGGTCTTGAACTCATTTTATAGCCCAGACTGGCCTCAAACATGCAGCAGTCCTGCTGCCTGAGCCTCCCATGTGCTGGGGTTAGAGGTGTGCGCTGTCATTCCTGGCTCTCAGATCAACCTTTGAAAGGTAAGGTGAATGTGGACTGACTGCATTGCTCTCTAACACCAGCATCAACATTGTGATTTTTGTTAAGCCACAATTAAGTATGTACGCACTGTCACCAGAACGTGGCATAAGCACCTGTCTGGCAAGTGCAAGGTCCTGAGTTTGAGTCCATGTACCAAAAAAAAAAAAACATGGAAGCAATGTTAACACCATATTTGTCATTATCAACAGCCAAAGAGCTTAGCAAATGCTCAATAGCATTATTATTTCTTTGAGTTTTCATCTTTAGGTGTTTTTAAAACTTTAACCTGAATATTGAAAATATTTTCCTCAAAGATAGGAAAATAACTACTTTTAAAAGATTGATTAGGGTAAATCAGGGTTTTAAATTTAGAAAAATGCAAAACTATCCACCCCAATTTTATTTGGATTTCAAGTATAAAGATACAATATTTTCAAAATTGACATCATTTAAATGTAGGTTACTGCTTTAGAAAATGTCACTCTTTATCCTCTCTCTCTCGCTCTCTCTCTCTCTCGCTCTCTATATATATATATTTTTTTTGTGTGTGTGTGTGCAGTACCGGGAAGTGAACTCATGACCTCACACTTGTCAGGCAGGCGCTGTGCCGCTGAGCTATATCCCCGGCCCTATCCTCTGTGTTGTAGTAAAGAAAATACTTTAGAATTTGAGTTTTGAAACTACAGATGTCTAGTGATGAACATAGTCTTTTCAGGGAGTCTGTTCTCTGATCAGAAGCAGTCATGTGGTTAGTTTAAGTTGATTCCACTTGTCCCAGGATCATTAGGTTGTACTTCCCAAGGCTTAATGATTGGTTAAGAAATGCGATGCTCTTCAATAGCCAAGATAGTGACTCAGCTGAGACACCCATAGGCAGGTGAACGGCTACAGGAAATGTGGTGTGTATATACCCAATGCAGTGTTCTTCAGCCGAAAAAATGAGTGAATTCTTGTAATTTGAGGCAACATGGATAGAACTGGCGGACATTATGCTGAGTGAAACAAACCAGGCACAGAAAACAACCATAATCTCACTTCTTTGTGGAATCTAAAAAGTTGACTTCGTTGAAGCAGAGAGTAGACCAGTGGCCATTATATGTTACTAGCTCATTATTAGGGAGCAAGGGGAGAGGAGGGTTGGATAAGTGGATGAAAACACAGTTACATAGGTGTTCGAATGTTTTATAGCACAAAAGGCTACTAGAGTTCACAGTATTATATGTTTTATAAAGAACTAGGTGCATTCAAAGATTTCCAACACGAATTATAAATGTTTAAAATGATGACAGTAACTAGATACTTTGACTTGATCATTACACATTGTATACATGTACTGAATTATCACACTACCCCACAAGTATGTAAATTGATTGATTCATTGCACTACTGGGGATTGAACCTTGAGCCTCGGCACTGAGCCCATTTTATTTAAAATTTTTATTTTTATTTTTTTATTTTTTTGAGACAGGGTCTCACTATGCAGTTCAGGCTGGCCTTGAGCTCACTTTGTAGCCCAGGCTGGTCTTGAACTCACAAAGATCCTCCTGTCTCAGCCTCCCAAGTGCTGGGATTACAGGCATGCACCACCACACCTAGCCTTATTTAAAATTTTTTAAAAAAATTTTCAGGCAGGATCTTGCTTAGTTGCTAAATTGCCCAGGCGAGGCGCAAAATCGTAATCCTCCTTCCTCAGCCTCTCAAGAGTGCTGGGATTACAGGCACGCACCATGCCATTGTCTGGCTCCAAATTCTTTTTCTAAATAAAGAAATGTGGTGGTCTTAGAATTCCAAGGCACTGAGAGATGGAGACTCAGATGAACTTTGTCACTACAAGTCAAACAATTTTAGAACCATGTGAATTACAGTAGAAGAATTTTTAAACTTCGAACTGTTTTGATGGTACAGGATTCCCCTAAAAGACTTAAATACAGATGAATGTAGGGCTGGGGCTGGAGCTCAGTGGTAGAGCACTTTGCCTGCCTTGTGAGAGAGCCTAGGTTCCATGCAGCACACCGAAAACAGCAACAACAAACCCAGTGTGTCCAGTATAAAATACTAAACATTTAATTTAAAGCCATATTCTTTGTGCAGAAAGCTTGTCCTTGTTCTCCAAATAATACACAGCTCTTGGGGAATGGGAAAAGGACTTCAACATAGCTGTGAGAAAAAAATGTGTCCCGCTGATAAAAA